CCCCAGGTTCCTAGACGCCTATAAATATGTGTTTAGGACCACATATTGGGAGTGCACGCAGGCACGCTGTGGTAGTCAAAATGGAAAATTAAAAGTTTTTTTCTTTCTTTTCTTATACATATATTCTCTTCATATTATCACCCAATCTCTCTCAGAAATCACACCATACGGCTCAAGAACTGGACTCTACGGATAAATTCACCCTTGGTCACCACAGAGGCGTCACTGGAACACACCTGGATCAACTCTTACCCAACATTGGACAACATATCACAAGGATTTCACCCATCATTACATGGCACCAAACCCAATTACCTCAAGCTACAGACACCCTCAGTACAGTACAGCCCACATTTACATACAGCTATTTCTCTTTCACTTTTACATATTACATCATACCTGCAGCCTAAATTAGTGTATTTTCCTTGCATGACAGCTGCAGCTTACACCACCACACTCACTTGTAAACTCATCAGAACCTGACCAATCAGAATCATTCTTTCAGCTGTTTGGCTCACCACTTCAACTCTTGTACATGTCTGACCAATCACATTCACTCATTCGAATTTTGTATGTAGCTAAAATACCTCATGTAATAGCCCAGGCCAGCCAAAATCACTCATTACTGGCTGCCCTGGAGCTAAATTCCCTCACTGTTGTCTATATAAGGAGGCTCTCCTCCCAGTTGTTAAATCCTCAGTCAAGTAACACTCAAGGAATATTTGACCACCTTTACACAAACACTTTAAAGTGCCAACCAACCCAAATCAACAACTCTTCATCACACAACTCATTCCTGAACTTTACCCTATCACTTGATTAAAACTTGACAAGATAAGCTTGGTGGGTCTTGTTATCTGATAGTATAGAAGGGCAGAGCTTTCACTCCATCATCCCCTGCTCAATTCAGCAAAAAGGGTCTTACAACCACTTTTTGAGTCTTACAACGCCAACCTGCAGGGTATACCCCCTGCAGGTGAATGGCTTGCCTGCCTGCACGCTATTCTGCAATGGTGTGCGCGTGGGGGGTTGGCTTGCACTTATCAACCCCCTAACCTTAATGATTTATGTCTCTCTTATGATATTTTTGTTTAGCTTTTTTCTGTCTGGTGGCTGCATTATTTGGTTTATTTTTCTCAGGCTCTTTCCTATTTTTTTTATTCAGACTTTTAGCTCAGGTTTCTTTTTTGTTTAATGATAGTTGTTTCATGTTTCTTGGTCCTAAGGCATGAGTTTTTGTTCATGTTGATTTATTTGTGATTTATGTTTTGTTTGTGCTGTTCTGTTCTGTTTTTTCCTTCCTATAGTTTTGTTTTCCTTCTTCTCTTTTCTCAGGGCTCTGGAGTGTCTCAGTCAGGCTGTTGATTTGTCTTTTCCTTCTTGGAATGGGTTGTGTTTTTGGTGTTTGTCTTCTTGTCTTCTGTTTATGTTTGTAGTCAGGTATGTAATGACATGTCCTGTGACATGTCACTTCCGCAGAGTTTAAGTTCAATATGAACTTGGACAATGGGGGGGGGGCATGGGACTTTGCTCTGATCCAAGGGAAATACCATAAAACCTAATTGATCTTGATATTCCTGATACTTCTGATATTCACCTTGCTGCAGATTGGTGTGCGGTCCTGCATGCCAATCTGCTTTGGCATGTGGACCTGCATTCCAATTATCTGCCAGGGGTGTGCAGATTTGCGTGTGCCAGGGGGGGTGGCATGCCATTATCATTCCCCTGACAGCATTTCTTACTTTGAAAAATTGACCACAACTACCGTTTCTCTCTCCAATCTCTGATGAACAATCGTGCTTCCCCTCTCCCTCCTCTCAATTCAAAAAGCCCCCACCCCACACCCGCCAGCTTCTATTCCAGCAGCCCCTATAGTCCTTAGTTATCACATCCATCATCCCCACCTCCAATCCCACTATGAACCATCAAACTCCGGAAATCAGGCCCTCCACCGCAACTGCCAATAAAACCAAGCCCAAACAAGGAAAAGACAAGGACTGCTCGTGCAAAGAACCCCACTTGTGGAGCTTTGAGCAGAAGAAAAAGCTCCTTGAACTCCTCCTGGATTACTCAAGGCGTGGTCGCGCTACCAACAATGCCAATTTGAAGAAGGATGCTTGGGCTCTAGCCGCCACCAATATGAATGATGCCTTTGATATCGGTCTTGACGTCCAGCAACTTCAAAACCAGAAGGCCGCTCTGAGGAAATCTTACCAAGACTTCAAATTCCTCCGGAACCAATCAGGTTTTGGTTGGGACAAAGAGTTATCAACTCCAACAGTGGATCCAAAGGCTTGGGACAAGTTGATTGTGGCACACCCAAGGTGCAATTTCAACAAGATTAGAGGTAAATTGTTCCCCCCCCTCTTCCAATGGTGTGAAGAGGTGTTCCTTGGGACAGTTGCCTCCAACAAGACGGCAAGCACCGGTGTTGCAGGATCACAAGAGGAACTCACCTTGTCATCTATGCTCATCCTTGGCTAATTTGAAGCACAAACTTGCCTTGGAAGCCAATGATGATGATGACATTGGGGAGGGCATTCAACTGTCCTCCAGCCATCCTGCCTACAAACACTGCCGTGAAGGAAAGAACACCGTACTGAGTACCGGCATCCAGGGTCTGATTTTGGCCATCAACAAGGCTTTGGAGGGATCCAAAGACCTGGTGGGAGCAATGGTGTTCATTGCTTCACAAACCAGTCTTCCATCCCAAATGATCACCACCCTTTTTCAAGCCCATCACAGCATTCATACGCCTCATGTCCCTCAAAGCCCTTCCAAATGTGCACTTGAGAAACTTCAGGATATATTTGGCAACAATATCTCAGATGACAATTATGTCGACTATGTTTGCATTGTTGAAGACAATATGAAGGCACACACCTTCCTCAAGTTGGCTCAAACAACCTCATTGGAATAATGGGACAAAGGAGCTACACTTGAGTGCTCCTAGATGTGTGATTTACATATTGTTGCCACAAGGATTTGGCAATCCAATAATGTTGCTGCTTCATGTACGCCTCCTACTGGGCATTGTTACAAGCTGAAGTGCCTTTGGATGTTGTAGTCAGATTCTGAGTTAAGTCATTGTCATTGCGGGTCACTGATGATGAGCCATAATGCTCATCATCAGCAAGCATTGCCTCATGGCCTTCATGCTTATGGATGAAATTTGAAAGCATACATAGACCATAAACCAGATGGACTTGCTTATTAATTTGATATTTTGGTGTTGAGGAAAGGATTCATACTTGGGTTTCATGCATCCAAAGATCTGCTTGATGATGTTTTGAAGTGAAGCATGTCTGAGATTAGAGATCGTTAGTTTGTACTCGGGTACCTGTTGGTACCTAGGTACCTGTTGAATTTTTTCAAAAAATAGGTACCAAGTACCGCACCAGGCACCTCCCGGCGGGTACCGGCGGTACTTTTGGCGGGTACCGTGGGTACCTCCCCTCTCTTTCTAACCTAGGTTCACTTTCAGATTACCAAGTCACTTTTTTATTATTATTTTTTTCATATTTATTGTAAAATATCAGTCCTAAGTCACTTTTTTTCCATTCTTTCATATTTATTGTGAAATGTTGACAACAAATTGGAAGAATCCTACTTTTTTATTATATTTTCATATTTATTGAAAATATCATTCCCAAGTCACTGTTTTTCCTTTTGTCATATTTGTTGTAAGACATCTTAAACTAATTGGAAGAACCTTACTTCATTATTATTATTACTTTCATATTTATTGTAAAATATTACTCAAGTCACTTTTTTGGCATTTTTTTCATATTTGTTGTCAAGTATCTACATCTAATGGGAAGAATCTTGCCTTTTTTCATGTTTATTGTAAAACATCAATCCCAAGTCAATTTTTTCATTTGTTCACATTTAATAATTTATTTTAAAGCTTAAACTGTCTACAAATTATATCTAATTAGATTATTAGAAGAATCTTCATTGTTGTCCAAAACTATCACCTTCCTTTTTGATTTTTGGTTAGACTTCTTGTTATCCTTGAGTCCCTGTTTCCATGTAGCCAAGGTACCTTCTTGGAGTTCTTGGAGTAGAAGGCCACATTCATTTTGGTAGGGAAGTGGGGGGTACCTGTAGCGGTACCTAGGTACCTGTTCAATTTTTCATGAAAATAGGTACCAAGTACCGCACCTGGCACCTCCTGACGGGTGCGGGGCGGGTGTGAAGGGTACCCCCCAAGCGGTACTAGGTACCTAGCAAAGGGTACCGCGGAACGATCTCTATCTGAGATTATACAACTCTTTCTCAATACTTGGCTGTTGGCCAGCTGCAGCTTGTTCCTTGAGGTGGTATTGGACACCCCAGAATGGGGTCATCAAGCCTGGCTGGAGGCCGTATCCTGCATCAGCTAGAAGGTATTTGTTGGATGGGAGCTGGAGTCCTTTTGCGCAGGCCTCCATGTAAACTCGAGTGTTGTGGGTGCTCCCTTCCCAACCAGCTAGAACAACGATGAATTTGAATCAAAAATTGACAGCCACAAGGACATTCTGAGCAACAAAACCCTTTTGACTTCTCCATGTGGGTTGATCATTTGCAGGAACCCAAGCATTTATGAACACACCATCCACGGCACTGACAGCGTTCTTGAAAGCCATGGATTTTAGGCTGTCTTGGATGGCAGTAGGCTGTAACATTGTGTGGGCATTCAACTGGACGTATTCCGGATACATTGTGACAAAGGCTTCTAAGACAAGCTCAAAATAGCCGACCATGTAGACTAGTCAGAATCATTGGACAACAAAGGAAAGAGTCACAAATACAAACAAACTTACCGGTTGACAGTGTACAAGCCTGGGCGGAATTGGAGAGCCATCTCACGCATTGAGTTGTTGTAGCAGACAATTTTTCAAGATTATCAACACTTGCTCTTCAGCTGTAGCCTATCTGCCGTCCACTAGTAAGCCTTTACTCCTAAGAGTGGCAATGAGGATCATGAAGGTATCCCGTTGCATTGATGTGACCTTGTGGAACAGTTCTTCTTGTGCCAAATGCAATAGGAAATTGACATAGGTGGCCTGGCCGCCGTTGCTGTAGTATGGATTGCCTTCATTCCAATGCTTTGCAAGTATGATGATAGGAATGCTTGTTGCAAGGATGGCGGTGAAGAGCTGGGGATCCATTTCAACAGAGGGATTTTGGTGTCAAGGTGGAGGGGGGGGGGGAAGAAGTGGGCAGGTAGTAGAAGAAAGAAATCTCTGGTTGTTTGATGGGGGATTGGAAATAGGTGCTGGAGGTACGTTTTCAATTGGATGGACTTAGGAAGGGGGGGGGAATATTTAGGGGATACATAGGGGAAATGGCGTGGAAGGGTGGTTCATTCACATTGGATGTACACAGGTGATGAATGATCACAGTACTCAATTGGTAGCACATCCCATGCCAGAGAACCAAGGGGGGTTGGACTCCCTCGTACATCATTTTGGTCAATGATTTTCGGAGATGGATGAAAAATTGAATTATTGGTTTTAATGAAAAAAAAAATGAAACTTGGAAATCAAAATTTGATTTTTTTTTTTTTGAAAATCAGGGTCTATCGTACAGGCCCTTATAAGTCTGGGAATTGTACAAAAAGAGTGTTCACCAATGGGAAAAAAACTATTATTTTTAATGTAACATGAGCTGCTTTTTTTTTCTTTCACATTTTCCATCAGTCTACATAAAATATTTTAGATTTCCACTGATTTTGGTCACATGATTGCCTGCCACTTGATATATGAACAACATCCATTCATTCACCAAGCCATTAATTCTTATTCACATCAATGCATTTTGATTTTTTTTACCTCCCGAGTGAATTAAGCAATCTGATTGAATAATTAATGGTGTTGTGATTTTGAAACCAGCAATCAATCACAGCTCTCAAGCTTTGTAATTGAAATCAGCCTTCAATCTTGATGCTACCCATGATGGTTGCTTGGAATCTATTGATGAGTTTGATATGTCTGGATTGATGAGCTCTGATCGCTCTGACTATATAAAGAACAACAAGATTTCTTCACACATAAGAACAACATTCTCCAAAACAACTACTAAAAATGACAACCCTCTTTGTTTGAATCTGCATTGTTTTTGTCCTCTTGATGATGATGATGTCTGGATGATCAGAAGAAACAGAGAAACACTCAAAGCTTGATGGAAGATTCAAGAATGAAGCTTAATTAAAGGTCTACAGAATTACATCTCTTCTTGATCTGCTCCTTTCTTTCCCTAATCATCATCCTTTCTCTTTCTTCATGACTGAGAATGCCCAGATGGATCTTTCGGAGGTTTTTTTTTTGTAGTTGTTGATGGCAATTGCGAGATTGAGATGAGAGAGAGAGAGAGAGATGGGTCAAGTTGAGTACTATATAACCAATGATCGATCGATCGATCGTCAAGTGTTTTCTGGTTGCAGTCAAACATAAAAATCGTCGAGTAGAAAACCCGAAGAACAATAATCGATTTTTATTTTTATGTTTTTTTTATTTTATTTTTCCGGTGGTTATAACGACAACAACAGCCGAGTTTATGTTCTCGTTGTTGTTGTTGTTGCTGTTGTGCTTCGGTGATAGTTATATATGAGTTCCCTTTTCCGATCAATTTTGTTCTCCTTATTCCAAACAAAACAAGCGATAATAATAATAATATTTTTTTTTTTGTTTAAGCTCTCGGCCAGAGAGTGACCCCCCCCCCCCTTTTCCATTTCCCTTTTTTTTTCTTTAAACGTCCTTTCTCGTGTGGTTTGATTCCTTTCTCTACACATTATGTAAGAGAAGATAGGAATCACTAAGTTGAAGAAAACGGTAGCCAGCGCAGTACTACAATTACCCCCATTCACTTTTTTCTTCTTCTAAACAATCCAGGCACCATTTTTGTATCATCAAATCATCCTCCCCATCTTGATCCCCTCCTATTAAACCAAAAAAAAAAGAAAAAAGAAAAAAAAAAAGAAGGAAGGAAACTCTAGATATCATATTTCCCAATCCACAACACACACACACCCATCTACACACACACACACATAATATCCCAATTGAATCCAATTCCTCTTCTTTCGGCCACTTCTCACTCCTCTCCTTCTCTCTCTCTCTCTCTTTATCACTGACTCTCCTCTCCTCTCCTCTCCCTCCTCGTATTACCACTGTGTCTTGTATACATTTGAACTTGAATTAAAGCGCTGAACTGTACTACTATCTCCAGCCTGTATCATCACATCCTTCCCTCTTCCTTTCCTTCTTCTTCTTCTTATTGAAAAACATGGCCGATCATCACCAGAAACTCAACCAGTTCCTCAGCCAACACCAACAGCACACCCATTCACCACCACCCTCAAACTACCTCAACCCAAACCAGCCAACAGCAACAACCCCTTCGAGGTTCCTCACCAGCTCCCCCCTCCCCCCTCCAACCTCAGCCTATGCACTCGTCTCACTCACCCGCAACTTGGGCACCCCAACCAGCGACCTCAGAGCCACCAGCCCATCATCCAACCTCAACTACCCTCCCGACCCCTCCTCCGACCACCAACCCATCAACCAGCATCAGCCTGCACCCCCCTCCGAGCCGAACTCATCCTCCTCCCCCGCCGACTGGAACCATCAGCAACATCCCTCAGATCACCACCTCTTCCTCCACTCCGATTACCTCAAACCTGCTCTCCCAGGCGTACAGAACTTGCTCAGCAACAACCATCCATCATGCTTCTGGGCAATCCTAGACGATCAACTCAAGTCGGTCCACACACACAGCCCTTCAACCACTAAGGCCCACCTCTGACTCTCTTTTTCTTTTTCTTTATTCTCTAGACTCGTTTTCTTAGATCCATCCGCCTTCCCAAGCACCAAGACCGATGATCAAACCAGATCGCACCTCAGTTTACCACTCGACCAACTCATCTATCCGCCCCACCTGGACCGCATCCGCAGTCATCTCACCAAACTCTCGCCCCGATTGCCGATCCCTCCCAATCCTCCTCATCCGACCGATCGCTCGGCTGCTCTCAATCCCTCCCCCGAGACTCTCGTCGGTCGGTCTCTGTGCGCCTCTAGGACTCCCGTTCGGTCAGTTTACACACACTTCTCAACCAAATCCTTCCCTTTCGGAAACATTTCTCTATCGTTCTCCGATCGTACTACATATATGATGATATAATATATATATATATACATATATACATATATGTATGCCACACATGGTGATAATTCAAAAAAATAATAATAGATGATGATGAAGATCGGAGACTTGATTGATCGACAGACTCAGCTTCCTTCACCTCCCCGGATGTCAAATCGCCATGTTTTGGTGATGATGAGCTCAGCAGTGTGCGTTATATGCGCGCGTGTGTGTGTTGTATTGTCTATTATTTTACTTTACAACAACATCTGCGACGGGCTGTCTTGCCTGCTCTTGGGATTCGGGATGCTCTGCTGATTGGCTTGAGATCCCCACAGCTTGATTGGTATTGTGAGATGGATTTTTGGTTTCTTTTTTTTTCCGAATCTTTTGCTTTCTTCATACCATCTCCATCAAGAAGAATCCGAAACTCGAGGGGCGGGAGGGGAATCTCAACTGTTTTGTATATGTAGGCTCCTCTGGCTCGCCCCCCTGATGATGAGTCAAGCACAAGCTCAACAGAGGGCATTCGGATGGTCGACGAGGAGCAGTGGAATGTGATCTTGTCGAATTCCTTCCGCTCTCTTCCTCCACACATCCTTCTCAACTTGAATCTTTTTTTTCTTTCTTTCTTTCTTTGTCTCACTCTCGATCAGTCAAAGAGATACATCATCCTGTGCTGACTGCTTCTTTTGCCTTTTTCAAATTGGTCTCCTGCCTGCCCACCTGCTCGATTGACCTTCTTCTTGTAGCTGCAGCCTCCTCCGACATGCCCAGCTTGGCCGCTTGCTACTGGGAACATCATCAGATTCCAACAGTTCATCCTCCTACCCCACTGAGGTGAGCCCCCACCTTAACCTCTCTGATATCCGCACAGCCCGCTTGCCTGACCTCTCGTCCGATGCACTGCGTCTCCTGCAAGTTCAGTCAGATGATCGGTACCATCCAACGGACTTACTCCTCCACCCGATCCCTCATGGCCGATTCCTCGCCTTCTTCCATTCTCAACAACAACGTTAGTCATTCCACTCCTCTTTCTCTTTTGACTCTTACCAAACCCTGTATATACACACACACACACACCCTCCTCCTCCTCCTTCTCCCCCCCTTCCCTCACTCCCTTTTTCACTAAGACCACCCTGCGCTGGAAAACCCTACAGCTCCTCGACCTGAGTCTCATGGCAACCCTCCTTACTCTCCTTGGATTACCAGCACCGCCAACAACAACAACAACAACAACACCACTCCGTCCAGTCCTTGCGGTCACAAGGAACTCGATCCGGAGTCCAATTACCTAACTCGGGAGGAAATCGATCAACTACACCTTGCACTCGCCCACTCACTCTCCACCACTCCTCCTAGTGGATTTCAACCTACCTCCTTGGAAAGAGCCGCCTCCTCACAACCAGGTCCACTCGAAATCTTCCTCATCCTCGATTCTAGGAACGCTCGAGTACTCTTCTCGCATCATTCACCCTCAACAATCAATCTCTCAGATTATCAGTTTGCCCCAGAAGACTATGCCTACCTTGCCATGCAATCAAAGCAACACAAATCGGTGGACAACGAAGAAGGATCGGCTCACTCCAATTGCTCACGTCAACTCACTGCTCAGCATCGACTGTAAGTTGACTTGTTTCTTAAAAAAAGAAAAAAAAAAAAGAAAACAGATTTCGCCGGTATGCTGACTTTGAAGAGAGTTTCTTTTTCCAGTGTCAAGGATAGTACGGTGATCAACATTGTCCAGTCATTTGTGATCGAATATGGTAGTGTGACTTTTGCATCATTCAACTCCAGCCTACCCTTATCCGCTTCACGTCCTCAGACGATGATCAATCAACCACAACAACAGTCCACCCATTCCATCATGGGCAGCGTCAAGCCTTCGCCACTCGAGCTCGTCCATGACTCACGCCCGATCCCACTTGATCTCTATTCGCCTACCTCCTCACAACTGGCCCACTCCGCCAAACGGCCTCGGACGGATTCGAGTTCAGAAGTCTTGACTCCTCAGAGTGCCTGTAGTACTCAGAGTCAACCCTACAGCTATCAGCGACCATCCACCCATCCTGGTCACCAATATTCCACCTTCAACTCTCACCATCATCACCACCATCATCACCACCCATCCCCACAACTCTCCTCCTTAACCTCGAGTATCTCGATGCCCGAATCGCCCGATCCTTATGGTGGTTATGGCCATTTCTCTGGAGAACTTTCGCCCACAATGGCTTCAGCAGCTAATGTACTCGGCTCCTTCCATCGAGCACATTACCACCATCCGCAATCCATCCTTGCACTCCAAGACTCTCACCATCACCATCCCCACCAGATCTCGCCCGCTTCATCGACCCATCATTCCTCGATCTTGGGCTACGAGAACTATGGACTACAGAACCTCGCCTCCATGGCAGCCTCGGCTCCATTCGATCATCCTCAATCTCAACCTCCTCCGCCTCCTCCGGATTTCTCGTCCCAATCATCCGCCTCTTCTCCTCATCAACCACAGTCATCTTCCTCAGACTCGTACATCATCCCTTCCGCCCCTTCCTCCTCGCAACACCTCAGCCTCAACAATCGCTCCTTCAGACCTCCTCCTAATCCGAACGTCTCTGCTAAAGACTCTCGTCTATCAACTGGCTCCTCGTCGCTCCCTTCTCCTGATCCAACTACCAACGAGTCTACTCTCGGTTGTTTGGTCGGCTTGAACCATCATCACCATCATCATCATCCTTCTGCTTCTAATCATGAGTTCGGAAGACCGCCTCCTCCGCCACCGCCTGCCGAGTTATTATCAGCTCCCTCTTATCGTTCATTAACCTCATCTTCTTCTTCAGTTAATTCTTCTTCAAGAGATCAACAACATCCGAGATCGTCTTCCTTTATCGATAATCGGTTCCTCAAACGACCCCGATCTTCCCAACTTGATCCACTCGGTTCTCCGACGACTACTGGCACTCCTGTTGCTTCAACTGCCAATGTAGCTCATTCGGATCCGGCCGCGGTTAGGTCTTGTACTAGTTGTGGGGCCCAGAACTCGCCCGAGTGGAGGAAAGGTCCAAATGGCGTTAAGTCTTTGTGTAATGCTTGTGGTTCGTCATCTTTTCTTCTTCTTTCTCTTCTTCTTTTGAATTTCACGTTGATGTTTTTCGGAGGGGGCTTGGTTCGGCTGTGGACATTTGTGTTTTTTTTGAATGAATAGGATTGAGGTTCTCTCGAGCTCAAGCACGGAAATCTAAGGCGCCTAAAAACTCTTCCAATTCGGCATCTAATCAGCAACAGCAACAGCTTAAGAAACAGGGGCATCAGCTTCATCAACAGCAACAACAACAGGCGATGATTGGAAAGAAGAAACTCGTTCATGCTCTGCCTCCTCCGCCTCCTCCTATCATCAATGCCCCTTCGCCGACTACTACGGGGACGTCTGCGGCGACGTCCGCGGCTGCTGGGACTGGGACGGCTAGTCTCCCTAATCATCTGTTGCTCGTTAATGATGATCCTAGATTAATCGTCGATGGGTTTCATCGATAATTTCTTTTTTTTTCTTTTTCGTCTTGTTTGATATTCCTCCTTTTTTTTTCTCTTTTCTTATCTACTCATCTTTTCACTTTCATCAAATAAATAAAAAAAACAGAAAAAACAGAAAAACAGAATAAAACAAAAAAATGCATATAAAGAAACAAGTGTTGTAAAAGAGAACCAGACCAAAAAAAAACTTCATTCTTTTATTTATCTATAAATCATACACACACACATATAGACTCTATTTCTGTTCGTTTTTTGTTGTTGTTACCGTATATGTAGTCGATTGGATTTTTCTCTCATTCATCTTCTTCATTTACTTCGTTTTTTTTTTTGTTTATTTGAAACCTTTTTGGACGTTGTTGTTGTTTATTAGAAGAAGGATTCGAAGGAGGATGGAACCGTGTTATTTTCTCTCTCTCTCTCTCTCTAACTTTCTTTGATCATTCACATATTCTTTTCCTTCTGATTTCTCGAACCGGCGGTTTTTCCCCTATTTGGTCTCCGAACACTCACTCTTGACTCGATCGATCGACTTCTTCTTCTTCTCCTTACCCTTTGCTTAAACTTTTCATCTCGTCTTATTCTTCTTTACTCGATCACTTCAGCTATACAACACACACATACAAATTCATACACATCCTTCTTCTAGGACCGTTCTGGCTTCAACCTTTTCTTTTTCTTTCCCATCTCTCTTTCTTTCTTTCTTTATAAATTTACAAACATCTTCTCTCTTATTATGATGTATGTATCTAAGTATGTATACACATACAAATCGGATCTTTCTTCTCGTTCTTCTGTCCCTCTCATCTTCATCATCATCATCTTCTTCTTCTTTCTCCCCCGAACATTTCTTTTCCTCTTTCTCATCAATCATCATCCCCCTTTCTTCTCATACACATACACATACTTATAACAAAATTTCTCTAAAACACCCGGTTAATTATTGTTGATTCTTCTCTCTACCTTTTTTGATTCTTTCCTTTTGATTAGCATTTGTCTCAATTCATCTCTTTTTCTCTTCCCCCCCCCCCGCTAAAAAACAAAATAAACCCTTATAAAAACATAATAATATACTTATATATACACTCTACATCAACATTGTTTAATTTTTTTTTAAATCTTCTTTTTTGTTCTTAGACTTGGTTTTTTTTTGTAGTGTTATCATCATCATCATCATCATCATCATTGATTTGTTGTTCTTCTATCCAGCCGTGCAATTCTAAAAGTTGTATGTATGTATCATCTTAAATTTCATTTTGTAGATCAGTAGACTTGTATCTATCACTCATCAGGAAACCATTCAAAACAGAAGCAAAAAAAGTCATTCAATATGTGTTGTTCTTTTACTTAATATATATACTTGATTGCTTTTTAATCTGAATCTTTTAATCATCTCCCATCCTCTGTTTTTTTGTGTGTGTGTTTGTTTGGATATGTTGTGTTATATCTTCTGTGTAGTTGATCTGTTGATATTATGCAGGTCTCTTCTTTTTTCTTTGCATGCATCTATAAAGTGTGATTATTATCATCATCATCAGCCGCTTTTTTGGTTTCTTTGAGCTAAGAGTTGGCGTGAGATGCTGATAAGAAGAATGACTTGTGTGCTGTCAAACCTGTCTAAGGGCAGGCATCCCCTTGCAGGACACACAAGATTTGGTGATGGCTTTAGGAAGTCTATGATGATGCTGTTCTAAAGGGGTATCTGAAGTCCAACAGACCAGAGTCCTGTTGGGTTTTTTCCTCCTGTGTAGGTCCACTTATTCATGTGTACATACACTATGGGGTGGGGATTAAGAACACTGCCCCAGATATCAGATCGTTTGGGATCCGCCTGGAGCACCTGGATTGGAAGATGGTTTTCAAGCATTCAATCGAGGCGGCCTGGGTGTCCCATGGATGCTTGCAATTAAAGAAACCCTCTGAGGCTTGACAGGCCAACCGATTAAGACTATGGTAGACAGACCATTACATCCATCATGAGACACTCTCAATCAAGAGTGTCCACTGGACATCAAAAAAAAAACTGTTGAAATTTTCCTCTCTTTCTCTCTCTGAGCTTTTAAGATTTCTTATCGCCTTAAATTCGACTGATTTGATTGCACCAAGTAAGTAGGATGTTTTCTGGTTGTTTTCTGAGCACTCTTCTGAGTCAAATTTGAACCTTAAGAAATTAGACTCAACTCAATCAATCTTGTCTCGACGGTTGTAATTTCTTCCTTTTTCTGGCTTCTTGTTGGATATTCAAAATCGCTTACCAAGAATTAACTCCTCTTGTTATGGGTGACTTGGAATATCTTTTTCTTGACTATAAGCTCGTCTGGCTTTTACTACAAGAGAATGAGAAGTACTGCGCAGTTTGTTATTTTCCAAGAACTTATTCAATTTTCTCTCGATTTTTATTCAACATACTTTTTCTTTATTGATCTTTCTTTCAACCGCTTTTTGAGGATTTGTACCTAGTCTATTTAATCTGGGCTACTTGCAAGTGAATAAAATCATTGGTTCTTGACACTCATTTTCCTTGAACCTTTCCCAAAAAAGGTCCCTTGCCTTTTCGTCCCATTTTCTCAAAACTCTTCAACTTCAGCCGGTCAAGAGCTTAAACTCTCAACAAAAACCATCAGTTGGACACTTCTGAGAGCGTCTACATAATTCATTGTTTCCACATGGGCTTGACCGTTAAAAAGATTATGGTCAAATGCACATGATTGAGGGGCAGGGGGTATGAGCTTCAAGGCAGCACTCTCAGAGCAGAGAAGAAGAGGCTCTCTTCTAGAATGCTTGCTCAAAGGAACAGGAGAGTCTAGGGATATTAGAATGCAGAACTAGAGGATAAGAGAAAGGAAGAGTGTATTTCTAAAAAAAAAAAAAACTAACTCACTAGTATTAAACAAGACACTGGAGTCTTGGGTTTGTATGGCAATAGTCTTGGCCTCCCCTTAATGAGTATTGAAAGGCAGAGGGCAATCCACTTTTGTCATCAAATGATGTTTATATGTCCACATGTTGAATATCTCTCTTCTTTTAGAGGATAAACAAGAGAAAAATATAAGATGAACTGTTGGAGTTTCCGTGCACCTGTGTCACTCAAATTCTTTGGTCCCAAACCAAAGAAAATGGTGCCATTATCTTTGGTTTGGAACCAAAGAGCTGCCAGAGCTGGGTGAGCTGCCTGGAGCTGGGTCCCCCAGCTGACTAGATTTCCAATTTCTCATATTTATCTTCCAAATCTTCTCTCTGTATATGTTTTGCCCCGGCTCAACTCTGATTCACAGAATTCTCCAACTCAAGTTCACTGCCACATTACCAACAAGTTCTGGCCTCACCCAAATCACAACTCATACATCAGATCCATTGAATGTAACCCCCCCCCCCTCCCCAATCTTGGAAACTCATCATAAACCCCAAGCAGCTTTCCCACAATCAATCTACACTCATCACTTCTATGAATTCTCTCAAAAGAATCTCCCAGCCTGTTCTGCTCAAATTTGTGAAAAAAAAACATGATTTTTTGTTTTTTACAAAAAAGCTTTGATATTCATTTTGGGGCAGTGGAAGTTCTCACAAAAAGAACGAATGAAACATGGGGAGAATTATTAGAAATGAAAAAAAGGAACCTCAAAAGGTCAAGCCAGGTTAGTGTGTGATAACTGTACGGTGCTCCCCTATGTGTGCTGATTTTTTTAAAAATCAGCCTACAGAGGGACGTGCAACAATCACCACCTCTCCCCTTTGGACAAGGAGGCTGCACGCCACAGAACTAGGCTTGTTAAGGTATTTCACTACCAAGAAAAAGTCAAGCAACTGCTAACAGTTGACATGCAGCAAGCTCCAATCAAACCTCAATTGGTGTGATTTGGTGGTACAACTCTGAGACTTCAAAGGGATGGACCAGAACAAGGTACAATGAAAGCCTGAGTTCAACATAATTTCAGTGCAGAGTGTGGTCTGAGCTCTTGCATGTCAACTGATACCAGTTGCTCAAATTTTTCTTGTAGTGAATTTAGTTCCTAAAGACATAAAGATATACTTTTCCAAGTAAATTGGGGGTCCTGATCTCATATCAATTTCCGACTACGTCTGACCACATGGTAGCAGAAAAGTGCTAGATGAAATATATCTAGTCATCTGCTTAGGTGATGTTGCACCTGGTAAGTAAACATTCTATTCTTTGGAGTTTGGAAGAACATTTCTTTTTCAAAATAAATAGGTGATTCTTGTGAACATCTGACATGGCCACATAGCCCAAGCAGTAGATTGAGCCATAGCCAGATATCTGCAGTTTTTCAAAGTTTTCAAAAGGTTGCCAGTTCAAACCCTGCTTTAGAACATAGGATCTAATCTCTTGAATCACCCTATTCAAACATGCATTTGACTGCCTCAATGATACATTTGACTCTTGTCAGCCTATCAATGACACTTGCAACCCTACCCAAAGATCTTGGAAGATACCTACACCATACCAACAACTGCAATGGTGAAATACACTTGCAAAGTGTGTATCAGCGATGTACTTGTGACATATCCAAAGGCACTCTTGTACAGTCCATTCAGAGCTATTGTCACAACTGCCGCAGAACAGTAACAAAACGAGTAACGCTTTGTTCAAACTGTCCAACTCCACGTGAATTATTATGGCACAAAGGACACTGTCCTTCAAACCTCCAAGACATTAAAAAGATAGCTATCAAAGAAGATCTTCTGTGCATCAACTGTAACCAGATTCACCAGAGCAATTCTCAGAGGATAAAATGCTCAAATTGTAATGCCTTACACTCAATAATGATGACTCAGGAAAAGTTGTGCCAAAGTTGTGCACAGATAAACCAATAGTATCAGAAGGGATATGCCAAGCAGACCAAACCAAAATCCTAAATCAAGGTGGGAAAAATGAATGTGATCAGATCTTGAAATGAGACTCAAGTTATCTACTCAAACAAGTCCTTATACACTATAAAGAATCCACATCATCATCATCAAAGTGAAAAAAAAAATTGACAAAAGAAAGAAAAAGAAAAAAAATTGACAAAAAAAAAGAAAAAATTGACAAAAAAAAAAGAAAAAAAGAAAAACTGGAATATTTCATCATGAGGAAAATACACGAAATATGGATCAAAAAAAAAAAATGGAATAAAAAAATATTGGGAGGGAAGGGGTTGAGGAACCATTACTTTTCTTTTGGGTTTTGGGTTTAAATGACTGCTAACAGTTGGCAACACAACTCCCAACCTTTGGGGGATGTCTCCAGGACCAATATCCCTCATTAATCGTCCTGGGAGTTGTCTTCCTAGAATTGGGAGTTTTCTTTTTTTTTTTTTTTTTCTTTCTTTCTTTGTTTGACTTTGGGAGTTGGAAGACTAAAAAAGTCTGCCAAGTTGGGAGTTTTGGCCAGAACAGCAGCCTCTTGCCAAGCCAGTCAACAGCCTTCTTGGTAAGACCTCTTCAAGGGAGGGAAAGACCTCTTACAGCTTGCCACACAGGTCAAGACCTCTTGAAGAGAGGGAAATACCTGTTACTAAACAGGTCAAGACCTCTTGAAGAGAGGGAAATACCTGTTACTATACAGGTCAAGACCTCTTGAAGAGAGGGAAAGACCTGTTGCCAAGCAGGCCAAGACCTCTTGAAGAGAGGGAAAGACCTGTTGCCAAGCAGGTCAAGACCTCTTGAAGAGAGGGAAATACCTGTTGCTAAACAGGTCAAGACCTCTTGAAGAGAGGGAAATACCTGTTGCTAAACAGGTCAAGACCTCTTGAAGAGAGGGAAAGACCTCTTGCTGAGAAGTCAATGGCCTACTCAACAAGGTGGCAAGACCTCTTGTCAAAAGGTCTTTCCTCTCACCAAGTAGGTCAATGGCCTACTTGGCAAGGGGTCTTTCCTTGCGCCAAATAGCTCAATGAACCGCTTGGCAAGAGGTTGTTGTTTGGGCCATACATCCCAAGTTGGCAGACTGCTTTAGTCCACCAACTCCCAAAGTCAAACAAAAAAATAAGTCAAAAAAGACTTATAATGAATGAGGGGTAGGGAAAACAAGGTTGCCAACACCAAAACCATGTTTCTGGCTCACACCAGAAAAGTGTTCTAGTATGCAAGTCCCTCCCTGCAGGAGGGTGCACTTTGTGCCCAGCCAGTTACACCAGGGGGACTGGTGATAAGTTTGAAGGTTGGTTAGTTCTCTCATGATTTGCCTCCTCATGCCCTTTGCCAACAACAAATTAAAATTGATCAGTTAGCACTCACTGCATCAATTTTTCTGTACACATCTGTCTTGACTCTAGGAGCCCAATTATTGAAATTGAACTAACCCCTCACATTGTTCTGAAAATGGGCACAGGATCTTATTCTTGACACATTGACTTCAGAATGGGTGCACTTTGGATTTTTTAAAACCACCAACTTGACATGAATGAGCAGGATAAACTGGTCGCACGGATGAGATTCACTTGAGCCCACTTAGACGATTGAATTGGGATGGCCAGAGGGGAAGGTAAGTAGGATTACAGAAAATTGAGAAAATCTGGCAACAGGAATATCTAGTCATCCCAATCAGAAGAATCGCCATCCGAATCCTGTCTGATAGCCGATCCAAAAATTTCTCGTCGATGATGAGCTGGAGCAGATCCTATATTAACCTCGTCTTTAATCAGATCTACAACAGTCAACAATTCTTTCGTTGGTCAGTGTCTTTCTTCTTGCTGCTAACCAACTGTTCTTTCTTTCTTTCACTAGCTTGGTCTCCGCTCCTTTATCGATGCAGGTCAGGGAGACCATGACTGTACAGATTAGAAGGGGAAAAAAAGGCGCCGGGTGGATTAGAAAAAAGGAGACTGACCAGCTTGTTTTAATCGTAATTCAAGGGCTATGGCGTTTATTTCTTTGCTCGATTCTCCCGTGATACCCTCGAATCCGACGATCCTACGAACCATCATCAAATGAATTTTAGAAATGATGAGATGAGTGGAAAAAAATAGGTCGATGGATTCAAATGAGGGGTTTCTTTTGTTTGGTACACACCGTTCTTTTGATATTCCATCCAAAAATCCGACCACACATGGCAAGACTTTGATTTGTAATTTCTCAACTAACCAAGGTACGTTGGCAACGTTGACTTTTAAGAAACGTGTCGAGAAATACTTGGATGCGAGTTCCTGTAAACAAAAAGGAAATCAATCTGTCTCAACAAAAATGCAAATCTTAATAAAAACCATCTAGACTCTTTTTTCGTGGCTAACCTCTAATTTCTTATCCATAGTTTTACATCGTTCGAAATCTGGATGAAAGAAATGGACGACTGAAGTCTTGGCTTTCCTAGTCCATTTTGCACAAAAAACAGATATCCACGCCAAGATTAGAAGGAGACATATCACAAGGCACACCCGCGTTTCCAGCTTGCACATCAATCACTTACGCCGTGATTTGAATCAGTTTTTTCTCGAGCTTGATTTCCACGTATCTTCCATGGTTATCTTCCGACATCTGTTGATTCTTCGTGATTCTGTAAAAAATGCATGTAGTAGTAATAGGATAAGTTTTCTGGGTAAACAAATTCAACAAGCCCCTCGAAGAAAAAAGCATAAAAATGATCATAGCCGAGAGAAAAGAAGGTTGGAGTAATTTTGATGAACTCACTCCTTTCGTAACTCTTCGAGTCTTCGTTCTCGAATTCCATTCAATTCGAAATCATCGTCCAACTGGGCCAAGAGCTTTTCATCATCCTCAACCTCCTCGTGATCGTCCTCTGACTCGTTCCGTCTTTGTTCTGTAATCGACCCTATCTTGCCTGTCGTCGATGTTGCCATTGGTTATGTATGTATACGTCTGTCAGGTCGGATGGTAGTGATTGTGCGAGAAGAAATCTTCGTGGTCTTACAGTCCCCTAAGCCTCTAAGGTCAGCGCTGGATCCCGCGGGGTACCCGGCACCTCTGGGGCCACCCGGCACCCCGACCCGAGGGAATACAGTTGCGGACGGCTTAAACCGACAAGAGCAAGCCCCCCAAGAGGGGGGGGGGGTGTTGAAAAAGTCCGGATTTTGGCAAAATTCATACAGTGCCCACAAAGCTTGTGTTCAAGAGCTCCTTGGATCCCAACTTTTTTTTTTTTTCACTTTTCCCTCACTTTTTTGTGCCTTGAAACCTCACTACAAAAAAAATTGAATCACATTCTGGAAATGTGAGGTAACATCACATGTCACGTGAGATGTCACTTCACATTTTCCAAATGCGATTCAACTTTTGGCACTGTGATTCTTGCCAGCTTTTGAGGTGCAGAAAAGATAATTACAAGAGAACTTAGTTGAGGTTGTATTGCAGAGCATTGGGCTTGTATTTATACACGAGGGGTTGAATAGAGACATTGGGGGAGAGAGAGAAAGATGCAAGAGGAATATGAGGATTTCCATTAGATGGGATGACTAGTATTACAATAAGATAAGGAAAGAGGCCGGACTTGGTTATGTTTGGTCCGTCTTTAGTAGTTCTACTAGGCAAGATAGTGAGGTGAGTGGATAATCAGGAAACAGGATAAGAATAACATAGCCAAGAGCGGCAAACAGTATCTGAGAATAGAAAGGAGAAAAAGAGAGAGTGACCAAGAGCGGTCAGTAGAGTCTTAGTATCTGGATAAGGCTCTGCCATAGCTGTTACCTAATCCAAGAGTTGGGGCTTCACAGCACCAAAAACTTGATCACATTTTGAAAATGTGAAGTGACATGCAAAGTTACCTCACATTTCCAGAATGTGATTCAACTTTTTCTGTAGTGCCTGTACACATGACTGTACAGGTTGTGAATCTGTGGCCAAGGCATTGATGGGGCTCTGGGCACCTGGTTGTTGCCTGGCAAGGACTAGGGGTTAACCAATGTGATGACCTGTTCCAACTTCCAACTTAAGAAACTGCCAGGATTCCAATGGTCCAAATCCCAAATCTTCAACTTAAAAAATGTGGGAGTTGGGCCATAATGCCTATATTACTGTGGCTGTATGAGTCCAAGTACAGGACAAAAAATCAAAGAAAAAGTGGGGCACAAAAAAATGGATCCCAGGGGCTTGCAACAGCAAGCTTTCTGGGAACTGCTGTACCTGTTTTTTCTTTTTGGGGGGGGGGGAAATTCATACCTTTTCAAGAGTATGCTTAGGCCAAAATTGAAAAATCCCCCCAAAAGAGGGGTTTTCCCGACAAACTCCTGGGTTTGGGGTCCAAATTCCAGATTTTACTGGTCTTGATCAGTTTCACAAACCTAAAATAAGTGATTTTGAGAGTATTTTTTTGGTCCAAAATACTAATTCATACCTTTTTCAAGGGTAGGTTTTTGGGATTTCTGCCCATTTGCCATACCTTTTCCAACAACCCCCTCTTGGTGGGCTTGAATTGCCAGGGTCCTAAACCAACCCTGCCCAATCTTAACTTAGACCATCTCCACCGTGGGGTAAGCCTCTCGTGTTGAGAGTGCCAGGCATGCAGGTCTGGGTGGCAGCCCAGTCTCAGTAGAGAGGCTTATACCAATGGTGGGACACTACACTAACTGTAGCGGTTAGTGTAGCGTAACGTAGCAGAATTCCCGCTAATGTTAAGCATAGCACAGCGGAATTCTGCCACAAAACCGCACACGCTACGCGTTGTGGAACTACTCTTTGGGATGAATAGAGCTTGAGAGGTAATAGTGCTTTAATGGGCTGCCTCTCTGGGAACTAGGATGAGTAAGGTAACAAGAAAAGAACAAGAGTATGGACTCTTGAACAATAGGTGTGGCTATGGAGATTTCTTGAGTAAGGTATGTCTGATATGTCTTATGTCTACTGGTCAAAATATACTTGTTCACAAATCAAGGTATCCCAAATGTTGATGGGCATATACCTGGCTAATAATGGGTGATCAGTTATCTGGCTTACTGGGGCAGGATCTGATGGGGAACAAATGAACATGAAAAACAAGGCTCCTTATATACAAGATTCTGGGGAGTGGCCAGCTTGTGGGTGGAAGGGGGATGGAACAAAATGGAAGAGTGAAAAATATCAAACTGAGACAATGTGGCCCAATTGGTAGGCACTAAGATAAATGGGGAAAATGACATCAGAGACATGCAGGGATGAAATGTGCCACAACCAATGAGGGAGGAAGAATACACCAAAGAGATGAATGAACTAGCCAAATGTGTACTAGTGTGAGACATCAGAATAACCAATGTAGAATAGTGTGAAACAATAGAATGTGGCCCAAAGTGGAAATGAGACTAGAGTTAAAGTGGATTAGAGTGAAACACATGCAGAGGCCAAATATGGAAGGCTGAATGGGGATTGATGATGTAAAGCTGCATGAAGTGATTATGTAATAAGGAAGTGTAATGTGGAATCCAGAGTGTTTCTGTCCAGGGGGCTTGGTCTTGTGACATCCATGGTGTTGCAGGTTGGTTGAACATTCCAGGGGGGGCTTGTCTTGGTCCTTGAGGGTATTGTTGTCCAGAGGGCTTGATATTGTGCTTGAGGCTTTGATTTTGTGGGCCTCTTATTCAAGATTGGCTTACCACAGCGTGTGGGCCGCAAAAAAGGGTCCACTATGCTGCACTACATTTCATTTTAGAGGTTTTTGGGCCTTTTTTGCCGCTAAAGGTGCTGTAGCATAGCGTAGTGGCACTAACAGTGCACTAACACTACAGGTTTTGCACACTGTTTTGAGGGCTGCAACACTAACATTAGTGGGCTGTTTAGTGCAGCGTAGCATAGCGGCCCACCATTGATTATACTATAAAACTAAAAGTTGGCCTGGGAAGTTTGCAATTTTAAAGTCCTTTTTGGCACTTTCTCCTTTGGCTTCCCCACCTCTTGTCTTGTAATATTTTTGTCCTTTTTTCTTCATTCTCTGGCATCTTGTATTTTTGGTCTTTTTTCATATTTTTGTTTCCACACTAATCTTTTTTAAAAAACAAACATTTTTTCCATTTTTCAGGCATGGGATAAGAGTGTGCTTGAGGCCCCCTGCCAAATTTGCAAATCAAAGTTTAAAATCATGAACTTTGATTCAATTTTTTTAGCTAGAATCAAACATGAATTCGCAATGCAAAAAAATAAGGAAAACCCAAGAAGATGCAGATCTTCAATCTACCAGAACCTAGAAATAATCTAGGAGGTGTGATGAGGCATATAATCAATGCTGGGCCGCTACGCTACGCTTTTTGCCCAAAAAGTGTTAGTGTAGCGGTTTTTTTTCCGTGCCAAAATCCTGTAGTGTTAGCAAAATGTTAGCAGGTTTTTGCTACACTACACAGCACTATGGGCCACTACAGGGCCAAAATGTTGCTAACCAGCGTGTTAGCGCAGCGTAGCGGGCACTTTTTAAGGGCCTGCACGCATAGTGTTAGCGTGGACATGGCGGGATTCCGGTACACTACACTAAAGTTTAGCAGAATCCTACATACTATGTTACGCTGCGCTAACCACTATGGTTATTGTTGATATAATAGGGGGGTTCACGATTGAACTTGATAGTGATTTTTAAGGTGTTTAAGAGCAACATTTTATGAATTTTTGAGTTTTTCCAATTTTTTGGTTTCTGAACCTTCTCAAAAAAACTGTAAATTTGTGATCAGAAACACCTTAAAACTGGCCTTAAAGTTCAATTGTGAACCCCCCTAATTGTGACATCTCCTTTTGTAACTCTTCCACTCCTCATGATTCTTGGAGTCCACTCAATCCAAAATCATGGCCTGAATGAACCAATGGCCTTCCATCATCCTCAACCTCCTTTTCATCATCTGAACTGCTCCTTCTGTTTTATGTTATCAATCCTATCTTTCCCTTTCTCGATATTTTCATTGCATATGTCTTTGTATTGTATGCAGTTTGCAGGTCTTTTTTTTTTTTTTTTTTTTTTTTTAAGTGCTAATTGATATTGACATTGCGCACTACAGTGAAAGCTATTGTGAGTATACATGCGAAGACGTTTTTGTAATTACAATCGATCATACAAAACAATGTTAAGTATTTAATTAATGACTTCTGAAGGCTTCTTTGTTTTAACTGACTGTAAGAGTGAAAGAGAAAAAAAGAAATAAAAACCCGAAAGAAACCGGAAACAGAAAGAAAAAGAGCAGGACAGAGAGCAGATAAAATTTTGAGTTGAAAAAGGAAAAAATAAAAAACCTCCTCTTTAATCGTGTCTGAACAATTGGGAGAATCGATGACCTCGACTCTCTGCGCCTTGTTTCCCAGGCAAGTCGCATTGTGGGTTCCCAATCCACAACCTCTAATAAAATGAGTTCGAGAGAGAGAAGAAGCCACCGATCGCCCCGCCTGTCCAGATCGATGAACCCCCGTGTAACTTTTGAAAGAAATCTTGTTAACAACTGTTTGATCTTTGGTGTTGGAAAAAAGAATTTTGAGACAGACATAGCGGCAGAGAAATTGACATTTAGAGAGAAGCTGAAAGAGAGAAAAAGAGAAAAAAGTATGAGAAAAATAAGAAATTAGTAGAAAGCAAAAGATAGAATTTTTTAAGAAGAAGAGATTTTACAAGATTCGGATGATTTTTTTTTTTTTTTTTTATTCTTTTTCATTGTCGATGTAGAATTGTAAGTTGTTGAATCTTTTTGTTTCTAGTATAAAGTCGGCTAGAAGTTCAAAGTTGGTTGGTGAGTCGAGAATAGATTTTAGCGAGAACATGTTGATTTTGATTTTGTTTTCTTTGATTTTTTTCCGGTAATTTTTTCTTTGGTTGTTGAATTTTCTACAGTATAATATAAAATGTTTGACGTCTTCGGTTGTGTTGCATTTGTTACATAAAGGTGAGTCGATTTTCTTTATAGAGAATAGAAAGTTGTTGAGGGGGCAGTGTCCTGATCGGAGTTGGTAGATTGCGGCTGCTCCTGCTTTTTCGATTTGATTTAATTTG